ACATTTCCCTCAGGAGTTGGTCGAATCTAAACCAGAACTAAAAGGAAAATGACTTTTGGTTTTAGATGAACTCAGAGGCCAGAAACATGACTCCAAATACAGGCTAATGTTGGTCAATATCTGCTGGATGTTCAAATAAACAACTGCCATATCAACTTGACTATGTCAGACATTGTGCCGAAGTGGCCAAAACACTACGGCTACTGCTTTGAAATGAAGAACAACACATCTCAAAAGGCTGTAGCTACTGGTCCTCAGAACAATATGACATTCAGCATGGCTTATTTAACTATAACCTGACAAACCAAGCAAGCAATAATTGAACTGGAGAACTACCAACTACTAAATTAAATTACATTTATTTTGATGCAATTTATCATAGTTCTAATACATAGCATGAAACTGCTATTTGAGTATTAAATAGATAGCATTCAGTTAACTCAAGTAGCGTTCAATACCTACATTTCAAGCTATATATAGACAGTGGTGGAAGAAGTATTATGATGCTTTACTTTAGTAAAAGTACCAATACTTACAATAATATTATGGTCCAAATATTTAATTGCAAGTAAAAGTCATGCATTCAAAATCGTACTTAAGTAAAAGTATTATCATTCCTTAAAAGTACAAATTGTGCAGAAAATGGTCTTGTGTGTATATAATTATATTGATACAGTATATGTGACATTTCTAGATAATATTGTTGCATTTTACTGTCGTAGACAAACAAAGTTTTGATTGACTTTCTGTAAAATAGGCTATTTAAAGAATTGGACTCATTTGTGACTTAAATTTGTGTTAACCAGTTTGGTTTTTAAAGATGTGTTTTCTTAAAAGTAGCTAAAGCTGTTTAATAATGTACCTGTGAATTGTAGTGGGGTAGAAATACAAAGTAGCAAAACATTGAAATACACAAGTAAAGTACCTCACTTAGGTACTTCCCACCTTTGTATGTACACTTTTTACAGTTCCACTCTGAAACATACTACTTTCTACGCACAAAAACCGGAAGTGTTCAATTTAACGCATACCTGTACTCATCAACTCCCAGGTTAACTTCGCCGTCTGTTTGGGTAGCTATGTTGGTCCAGTTGTAACTTATTATAATGCTGCTAATGTTTAATAATCCCATTAGAAAGAAGCTTGAAATCCGGAAAGTCTGTTTCTGACCAGGTACGTTTCCGTTACCATCGTCGCAGAAAACGCGAAGGGGAAAAAACGTCTCTTACAAGCTAGCAGTTAGTTAGCCATTTTTTCACGGAGAACAGCACCATATTAAATATGTTAATTTTGTTACCAGAGGTTTGGTTTATCACAATATCAAGCGGCTGGTGAGCTCCGATGAGTTTAATCCAAAAAAGCAGACTTTTAAATTGTTGCAGAAGTAAAAACACCTCGCCATTGTAACCGGAGTGGACGTTACTTTCCAACCACTTACACGTGACAACAACAGTACTTGACAAACAGCCAATCAGAATGCAGCTCAGCAACGGACAATTAGCTCTGAGCATGCGCAATGCTTTCTCTAAACATAGGCCACTTGACGTTGTGCGTCTTATCGAGCACAGCCCATTTAAAACACCATTACAAATTATTATCATATTAGTATCATGATGTTATTATTATCTTTCACAATAACAAAAGTTAATATAACTCGAAAAAACGTTGTATACAGTATGAAATACAACAATATAGACAACTTATTGAACATTCTACCAAGCCAAAACCTTCTGATGATTAATATGCACATTTTTATATTGTGTGAAGTGCTAAATCCTTTTTTTCAAGATTTAATTGACTTACCCTTTGTCCCCTAGAATATTTGTAACTGTACCTGTCTATTGTTTTGGCCAAAATGTTGAATAATTATAAATAAAAGTAGAAACCAAGGATTTTTACGTCATGCATTATGGCCAAAATAAATGCACGTGCATGCCCCTCTCTTTATATAAACTCATGCACATTAAAATGTTGTAGTTTTTTCTAAATCATATTTTTTTGTGAAGGCTGTTTTGGACTTCACTTGTAATGCAGTCATTTTAACATGTACTTTAATAAAGGATCTGAATACTTAATCCACTACTGTCCAGCAACTCATTAAAGCGGAAAGAGAAATGGGTTTGCGTGCAACTAAATATGGAACCTAAACCAAAGAGGCTGAATACCCGCACATGTCATTAATGCATTGTTTTAATATAACGTATTGTGAGAAGAACCCCAAGCAAGGATCTGGAGTCTATAATAATCATGTAGATAAAAATATGTATCATGGAATTATTAATATCCCACTAATTTACCTGGACTCTGTTAAGAAGAAATGTTCTTTGCATTGAAATAACTTCTCAAGTAAACATGATTTAAAAAGACATTTGCCTGCAGTTAATACACACCAGAAACAATGTTGAAACAGTTACGTCTGATACTCACAGCAAGTCCTATTACCCCGCTGTGTCACCCGTGGGTGTTGCAAAAGAGCAGGCACCTCTAAGCCAGGAATAACATTTCTGAAGCAAAACGATTTCTGCTTATAGGGCAATCACTGTGAATGTCCGTGAAAGGTATGTAGGGAGCGCAGAGGAGAAAAACAAGTGACACGTTATTTCATCAGAAAACTATGAACCCAGGCAGCGCTGTCAAAAAGCAGCAGTTCAAACTAGCAGGAGATCGGATGTGACAAATTCATACTGCAGGCTGTTTCTTTTCATGGTACCAAATATTTATGTAAGAGAAAGCAAATTTGTTTCTTGCCTGAAAGTAATAACTCCCATATGATGGGACTAGTCTCTCAGTGCCTTTGAACCCCTAATGAAATACATTAGGTCATTTGTAAACATGAGTTTTTGAGGAGTATTAGTAAGCGTACTGAGACTTAAATGACCTGTCGTCCACCAGAGGGGATTGCATTAATAAGTTCCAAACATTTCTCAAATTGTTATAACATTTACTCAAAGTAAACAAAAGACAGATTTTCTCAACAGGTGTTTCCATCGACTGGCTTTGTGCAAGTAGTAAGAAGAGGGTGTTACTAGATTACATAATGAAAAGAGCTCTAGTAACTTCACATTTTTCCTAAGAGCTGAATTGGTTTCTTCTACATGTGGTGTTTTTAATTTACCGCCATTTGTGTTTTTCTGTTTAGGGATATGCTTGTTAATGTATTAGCTTTCGACTTCTGGCCAAACATTTGATCGAAAGATAAATACGAATGTCATGTTTTTGTGCTCCAATCACACAGGAGGAAACTGTTAAAGACTTTAAAGCAGCCTTAAAGCCTATCTAGAGCTTTAAAGAAGATTTAGAGCATATAGTGTTTGTGTTTATAAACCAACTTTTTCAACCTCAGACAAGAAAGAAACAACTTTTTTAAATGTCTCTGTCACAGCAAAGGTGCAGATTCACAATGTGCATCAACACAAGCAGACACTAAGAAGAGGCAGGCTTTTAATTTCAACACAAGGTCTAATACAGCTTTCTTTCTGAGTTGTCATAATTCATCGCTGCTGAAGGTTATGAGGTTGATAACTCCAGCAATACCTTGAGTTAAGATTATTTTTTGTCATGTAACAGCTTTGACTCAAGGTCCACTTTCTTGCAGGTTTGGGAGCGTTTCACGTTATCACAGTCTTCAGCAGATTACCAATGTCAAAACTTGAACAAAGTGTTGCATCAAAATGTATGTGCTTATTCAAACTGAGCTTTCTGTGTGTCCTCATCTAACCCTGAATGCATCAAGTATTGAAGCATACTGTATACATGTAGCTGCCGATAAACTCAATTAAATGTGTCACTGAATGAATTATAAGTAATCTACAACATCACGTGTCATGGAGAATCAATGGATTCTGTTTTGGGGGTTCATTCTTTCACTATGATGAAAACATATTAAAACTGTTTGTATTTTGAAAAAGCCCGCCTCCTGTATAATTGAAATGCTTTTGTTGTTTCTGAGGTGTGAAATCAATATGAACTATTGCGTGAAACACATCTTGGCTCCTTGTTGTCTTTCGCTCCTATGGCTCCATCTGAGCACATGAACAATCAATCTGGAGTAATACATAATCACTGAGTATTGATCAACATCCTGATCAACTTCCAAAAGGCATTGACGAAATGGTGTATTTTACGGAGCAGCACAAATCTTTTTTATTACCCTTTAATTGCCACATATAATTAAATGAGGTAAATGATGAAATTAATGTGACTCAGCACTCTACACCTCGGTGCAATGGGAGCACTGGCAGAGCCTGCGAGTATAAAGCAGCTCCGTGTCAGTGATACCATGAGACTAATGATTAAAACAAGCCTCCTCATCTGTTTGGCTTCCAGAAAGCCAGATTTCCACCCCCTGCGCAGCACTTTTCATTCCAGCAACATTACATAAATCAATGCTCTGCAGAGGACTGGAAACGAGGAGTCCCAGAAGTAATAAGGGGGAAACATATCCCATTTGGGTAAGAGTTCACTACAGTATAGAGAAGCATATCTATTAATGGTCTTCCTTAACTCCTTATTGCACAATCAAAACAAGTTATTGTGAAATTCTTGGTACAATTAGATCTAGTAATAACATTTGTATAACTAATTTCCGCTCTTTAGGGAAGTTTTTCCTTATGTATCATAAACTTTTTCAATGTTAGTGGTTGTAAAGTTGTTGAAAAATCCACCAAACAATGCTTCATGTTTCAGCTGGAGTGACTTTATGGGCAGCTGCCAACATTTACAGTGATGTAGCTTAATACTTATTCATTTGTTCCTTCAAGCTCATTGTTAAAAGAGGAATTTTTAGATGATAAACTGAGCAGTAAAACACTGAATCTGCATTAAAACGTGTCTCTGAAAACATGTTTATCTAAAACACAACTACATTATGTGGTAACGTGTCGTTGTCACTTTAAATCACCATGACAACGTGGTTTCCACAACTTAAATACATGAACGTATAACTTGTTATACATTTAAAACACATTATAAGTATAGTTAGATCACTTTAAAATTCTTACCGTGTTGGGTCCACTTATAGTTCACACAGCTTCACACGGTCTGTGCCTCGCGCTCGCTGCTCGCGGGTTGTGCTTCCCACTGTCACTGCACGCTCTATGCAGCGCGAGCCCCTCTGCATGTGGTATTGCTATGCGCACATGCACGCTCGCGCAGGACCACTTTTTGTGTGTGTCTTGACCATAGACGGTATATATAAAGGTCTTGACTCTTGAGTGAATTTAGTCAATGAAAATGTCTGTTTCTGTTATTGTTTATCAACTTATTTATTGTACGTTGGTTTGTTTGCTATTTTTGGGTTTCTGTTAACTGAGTAATAAAGAATACAAAAAAAAAGACAAAGGAAATGTCTGTGGCACTATACAGTGTTATTATAAGAATAAATGACCGAACTATATTTTTTATCTGAGTATGCAAAGCTCAGAAATGACTCACTTCATTTTACTCGCCTCAGGCACAGACGCTGATAAAAATGAAAACCTAAATTCATAAAATAAATTAACATAAACTGGAAATTACTTGCTAAAGATTAAATTGAGACCAATTTGAAAGCGTTTTTTATTTATTTATTGAATGCATCTGATTAAATAAGGTTTTGTCCATGGTCATTTGGAGTGATTTTGACTTTAATATAAGACAATGGTTCCCAATCTAAAGGTACATCTAAGGGATTTAAAAAATAATTTGATTAGGAAACTTTCCCTATTGATGATATGCTCACAACTCCAAGAGACGTGCAACCTCCGACGAGGGGTGCTGGGCCAATGTTGATTGATTTTTAAAGAGTTACTCGCAACACAGTTTAGAGATAGGAAGAAATAAAAGGTTAAGAAGATCTGTTGCACAGGTGGGAAGTAACTAAGTACATTTACTCAAGTACTTTACTTAAGTACAATTTTGAGGGACGTGCACTTGCAATTTCATGCTATTTTTGACTTTTACTCCATTACAATTCAGAGATTGGGTACTCCATTACATTTATTTTGTAACTTCAGTGAAATATAATCAAGTCTTAAATGAGACTTTAGTTCCACCTGGAGTAAATTTACAAGCTACCCTGCAGTATACAAAGTCATTACTAGCTGCACCTTTACCAGCTTTGATAACACTTTAATGATCATTCATTATAAAACAATCATATATTATTCTGAAATGGACCAATCTGCATAATAATTCCTTTTGCTTTTAGTACTTTATGTATATTTTGATGCCGATACTTTTACTTGAGTAACCTTTTAATAGCAGGACTTTTACTTGTAACAGAGTATTCCTACACTCTAGTACTTCTACTCAAGTACAAGATCTGAATACTTCTCCAACCCCTGCTGTTACACACCTGCACACTAGATGTCCTCAGCGAGTTTCCTGCCTGTGTTGCTCACCTGACTTCCTTTAACATTTCCAGACTGCACAGCTATTACTGAGAGATCTTTACGGCTGCATTTACCATTGTAGTTGCAAAGTTTTCTAAATTAGTTTAGTTTGTGTTTTAAAGATTTTGACAAGCCAAACACACAACTGGCATTGTATATGAAGGTCCTGCACACTAACAGATGTTTTCAATTACTCTGGGTAATTAGAGCTCAGGCGAGGTTTACAAATTGATTTCATGGCCACTCAAGAGTTTATGAAACATCACTGTTCAGCTCTTAGTTTGGTAAATGAAGTTTATCACAAAATCTCCTGTCTCCATTTATTCAGTGTCATGACAACAGCGGCACCTTCTGGCTGTCTGAGGTAATACATCTGTGATTTGTTCCTTTCCAAATGTACAATAATATAAATACAGCATAATTTGATCTGATCTGTTCATAAACTTACAAGTTTTTGAACATGAATGGGATTCAAAAAATAAAAAAGGACCAAATCAACTACTGTTACCCTCCAATTATTGTCATGGTAAACACCACTAGATTTGATATTATATTTGAGCCTTCATCTATTAAAAATATGCATCAGTTAAGTGAGTTTATTTAATCAACAGTATACAAAATCCACAGTTTCCCCCTCAGCAATCTTCACCTTAGTTTATTTGGAAAAAATAAAATACAGAAAAACGATCTACATTTTAATATTTTATTGCAATTTATTCCTTTACAGTTAAACTGAATAGTATAAAAAAAACTGACATTAACATACAGACACACAAGGTCAAACAAACTCACTGATGATGACACAACCAAAACACATTGAACTTAATAAAAGCGGTCTTTCGTAGCTGAATTGTTGTCCTCTTGCGTTAAGACATGTCCGTCGAGCTGTCGTCTCTGAGAACATTTACAGTCCGTGTTTCCTTCTTCTCCCGGAGACAATACCGACGCAGTAAAAACAGACTGGATCTACAGCTAGTTATTTCCTGTTACAGCAACACTGGACAAAATAAACAAAATCGACTTTGGGACACCGGGACAACAGAGTGTGTGTGCACCATGCTTGTGTGTGTGCACCGTTTGCATTTCATATCTACAACATGAGTGTTAAAATAGGAGTCCGAGTTCCTATGCTTCGGTGGAAAGTGAGGTCTACGAGTCATCTTCACCGTTCACACTGTCGCCATCATCATCTTCAATGTGCTCGCCTTCCTCTTCCTCATCATCGTCATCCCTCTCTTGACTCTTCACCTGCAGGTCGAAAGAACATTTTAGGGGTGAGGTTTGATTCACTTTTAACAGCATTATTGGGGCATGTATTTTAAATATGCAAATGTCAGGCACAAATTCAGGGACATAACACGGCAATCATATGCTAATCTTTATATCAAAAGGGGTAAAGGTTTATAAAGTGTTGGTGGAGAGATTTCTTTAGGATTACAGAATTATACTGCTTTGCTAATATGGTTGTTGAAAAGTAGCTAATGGCAAAAGCCAACAATACAGTGGCAGCAACTTGCAATCACAAGGCATACCATTTTTGGTCCATTTTACTCTCAACAGGACCATAACTTAGAAAATTAACATTATACTATATTGCGATTGAGATTTAAAACTCATTAGTAAAATGTTACCGGGGTAACAAATGAATTAAGAGGTAGGATCATTTCCTCAAGGCACCTCCGCATTGCCTTCACAATCACAGAAAACCTGCATTTTATTTAGGAAATGCATCTGTAGCTTTGCAAAAAGAAACAATGGCACTCGCACCTCTTCCTCTTCCAGCATGTCTCCCTCGTCGTCTTCATCCTCGTCAGAGTCGTTTATGTCCTGGATGTCCCCCTTCCTCTTCAGCCCGTCCACCTTCTTGCTGCTCGGGTGTGGCGGTGAAGTGACCTCGCCTGGCTCCGTTTTCATACTCTTAGCTTCAGACGGAAATTCAGACATCAGAGTCAGAATACTCGTGGCACTGTGCAACACAATCTGGTAAACATGCTTTAGTTTGTGACAGTCAGACACGCTCTCCTCCACTTTTTAACATACTGTGTTTCCTCTGCATACCCGACTTCTTGCCGTGGTCCTTATCCATGCTGTCCAGGCTCTCCAGCAGGTCGTCCACTTTGCTTTTGATTTGAGACAACTCCCGTTTGATGGTCTGCAGCTCGTCCACTTTCACTGCAGAGAGAACGAGTACGACGGTTAGAAAAATGTCTGAGCCACTCGGGGTCATATGGCTTCTCATCAACGACACATTTAAAACCAGCTAAAATGATTTGTTTGACTGTAACTAACTGTAAATAAAAAATAAAACTAGAAAGTACATTAAAAGTTATTTTTCACTCTTGGTTGATCTTGACAACTTCACAGACCCCAAGACCAAGTTTTAAGAATGGCATGTTTTATCAGACAATATATTTTACACACGGTAATATGATGGTAGGGTCCAGCAGAACATCCTCACATTGAGGTGCTGTAACTAGAACATTTTGGCCCTTTTGTCTACCGACTAAACAATTATTTTGAATATCAAAATTGTTGTTGGTACATTTTCTGTCAATCGACTAAGTTTTAGCTCTAAATCTTATATTTCCACAGCTCATTGTTGAAATGAGTCGAGTCTTTGATTAGCAAATACATGAAAAAGCAGGAAATACTTACATTTTAGAGATTGAAATAAGCTAACATTTGAGATTTTGTTAATAAATTAGGATTGTTTATCAAAACTGACAAAATTCAGCCTTTATCTGGCATCCCCACACCTAGTAATTAATTTAAATATATCAAAATAAAGATTTAAGCCTGTATCCTGGTACTTCAACCTTCAGGCATTAAAGCATCTTTCAGGAGATGAAAACATGCTTGTAGGATTTTCATTTCTCCAGAAAGTAAAAGGACTTCATAAACAGCGTCTGTGCAGCATCCTGCAGAGACTGATGAAGCTCCAGATAATCTCACTTGTTCTGGACGAGGATGTCCTCTGGCTGCTCTTGGAGGAAGAGGAGAAGCTGCTCTTCGTCCGCCGGCTGCTTCCTCCGCTCAGGCTGACCCGCGGACGCTTGGACGGGATCACGGCCCGCGACAAGGGGGGGGGAGGAGCGGGAACACGGGACGGGTACGAGTACATTCTGCATCAAACACAGCATAATGTCAAAGTCAGCTTTGTTGTCAATCTTCCAGTTTGTGTGTACAGACAGAGAAATCGAAATACCGTTTCCCATAATCCCAAATATAAAAACAAATGTATTTAAAAAATATGTGTGCAAATATGTATAAATATACACGGTCAAAGACAAATGTTTACAATGTGGTGGAAATGAACCGTTTTATTCAAGGAGTATAAACAGTAGGTGATGAATGTGTCATCTACTCGTCTATTAAAGGGGACCTATCATGCAAAATGCACTTTTGTACGTCTTGTATACATGAATATGTGTCCCCGGTGTTCCAGGGAACTCACCAAGTGTCAGAAAACACAACCCTCTCTATTTTCCTCCATACCCAAATCTCTAAAAAAGGGGCTGCAACGGATCTGATACAGACTGATCCAGATTTGAACACTTCTATGACGTCACAGAAGTGGCGCTACGGCTATTGGGCCAACTCCACCAATCAGGAGGAGACAGCCACGGACATTGCCGTTGGAAAGCGCTGGAGACGCTGTAGTACATATGCCAGGCCTGTAGATGGTGCTGTTCTCACAGAATCAGCCCATGAAAAGACAGTGTTAAATTGAGCGAAATGAGGAATGGATAAAATGTATGATCCGTTTGGTATTTTGAAAAATAAAAAGTATAAATATGCCTTATATAGGTATGGTCCTACACTATATTATTCAAAAATAGCAGGATAGGTCCACTTTAAGTGTTACTTTCAGGGCTGACAACTTTTTCAAACACAGCTCATTGTTTCAGACAAAACTGGACTACAGTTCTATGTGGTGGAAATATACCAATTATATTCAACAAGGTATTGACTAATTGATAGATGTATCCCCGACTGTAACATTCTGGAAGTTAAAACTTTCTTATTAACATATTTGCAGCATTTATTAGAGTGAGAGGAAGAACATCAGGAGAAACAGAAAATACTAATCTATGAGTGAAAGAGAAAAAAAAAAAAGGTAATTTGTCATTCTGTTTCTTCATAAAATGACAAAGGGATATGTTGAACTCACCTGTCGTAATAATCTCTCTGAAAGTCATAGTCGAGTTCGAAGGAGGAACTACTGTTGAGACAGAAAAACAAGAAGAGTCCGTTTAAGGGAAACAGAGAGACGCTGAAGTTGTGTCAAGTCAGCTGAACTTTTATATGTATACTTCTCCGTCTTAGCCATCCTCCCTAGCGGTACTTTTCTAGAAAAAACGTGGATAAACTGAAGCATCATAGTGACACCTGTACATGTCCCCAGCTGAGCGCTTGGTTTACCTGTGTGGTTTGGGTTCTCCAGCCAGGTTGATGTCTGAGGAAAAGAAAACAGAAGAAAGCTGAATTAGAAAGAGAAGCAGAGGTTCAGTCTCTGCAACCGACAGTTTACAATATCTGAACATTTAAATAGTTTAAAAAAAGATTTAAAGAAAATAACCAGACTGTAGGAGATTGCTTGTAATTAGAAATCAAGCTTGTAAAAATATTTTGAGAGTCAAGATTGTGGATTATTCACTGACAGATGAAGTAGATAAAAAAATGTATTACGCAATTTCTGTTTTTCATGATTTAAAAGCAGACTTTTTTTTGTCTAACAACTGAGTCTTTCACATTGCAGGAGATCAAAAATATACATAGCTATACACAACTGTCACGTATGTCGTTTGTTTACATTTGAATTATTCTCTTTGTTTTGTGAGGTACTTTACTTCCTCACGCTCTAAAACGTTAAATTAAGTGTTTTGCTTTGCGTGGTGACAAGCAACGTCCTGAAAACTGCTTTAAATAAAAACAGCTTTATCTTAGAACAGGGGTCGGCAACCCCTGGCACACGTGTCACCATTGGCACGAGGCAGCGTAACCAGTGGCACACTAGGAATAAGTGGGCAAAATATTTTATTTTAGGATCCTGAACGAGACCGCCGCCAGAGCTCGTCTCCCCGTTATAGAAGGAAGCCATGCACACAACGCAGCCCCGCTCTCTTGAACTCCAGGCGGCTTGCTGCTGCTGCTGCTGCTGCTGCTGCTGCTGCTGCTTTCCTCCGTGGTGAAACGATCAGGGTTGAAGTGCTTGCATGACTTTTGCTTTTGCTTTTGAATGACCTATGCAATAAGCTTAAAAACGAAATCCTCTATTGCTGCATGTCATCACTTTTCTCGCCCACCTATCCTACTCTACTTTCAT